ATTGCAGCTTTCGCTGCCTGATAACAGAATACATATCCATTTCTCAAGATATCCCTCCCTCTACATTTGCCTTGTCTTCCAATCTGACCCAAAGCACCTGCTGTGACCCACTGAGGACCTTAAAAAACACTTTTATCAATTTTAAAAACGTTTATTCGGTCTCATCCTTCCTCTCTTTCTCCATTCCTATAAAACCAGACAGACAAAATGGATTAGTCCAGTCTTTCTCAATCTTGGCAAAGCTGACTGGGGAATTCTGGGAATTGAAGTCCACACATCTTAAAAGCTGCCAAGGTTGAGAAACATTGGGCTGGTCCACACAATTCCCAACTGCATATATATATCACTATCGGAATAGCCGCCTCGGGTCAGACTGGAAGAGTTTCCTTTTCAACAAGAGAATAGGCTGTGAACTTTGAACTTCCAAGTTCAAAGTTAATTCTGGGGTGCCGATCCAAAAATGTATTTTTTTTTGCAGTTTTCCAGACATCCCTTCTTGTGTTTATATCTGGTGTCTTGTTCTCTATGGTAAATATAACCATGCAACCGTACTATGTGTCACAAGGATTCTGCAAACCCCTATGAAGTAAATACAAGTGGGACTTGCTTTCACGCCAAGACGGAATTATTCACCACAATCCCTCATCAAGACACAAACTCTAAATTCAGAACAGCATCTAACGGGTTTTTGTTCCTCCAAGCTCTTTCCGCAAAACGAAGCAGACGATTACTGAGTTGTAAATTAGAAAAGTCGAGAAACCCACAGAAAAACCATCCTTAGCCTCCATTGTATGTAATATGAAAGAGGATGAGATGGCAAGGTTTTCATTTGAGAGGGGCACATGAAAACTATCCGGAAACGCCCATCCGCGCAAGTAGCCCAGATTCACGCAACACCCAAGTCATGTCCTAAAATGTCACCATCTTTTTTCCCCAAGGGATGATGGTTTAGGGATGCTTCCCAAGGGCAGAAGCTGCTCCCTCAAGCCATTCTGCAAACCTGGCTCAGAAGACCCTATCTCCCCTATGTAGAAACAAAGAGAGTTTGGTCCAATGGTTAAGGCACGAGAAAGCAGGAGAGTCTGAGTTTCAGTCTTGCGTTAGGCATCAAAGCCAGCTAGGTGACTTTGGGCCAATCACCAGGAGACGGTGAATTCTAGTTCCACTTTAGGCACAAATGGCAGGTGAGTGACTTTGGGCCAATGACCAGGAGACGGTGAGTTCTAGTCCTNCTGGCTGGGGGATTCTGGGAGTTGGAATCCAGAACTCCCGAACTGGCCAAGTCTGAGAAACACTGATCCAGTATCTGCTACATATACTCTTCCCTTCCTACATTATACAACACCCTTGTGATGTACATCTCTGCCTTCATCCTCTCCTGCTTTTTTTAAGGTTGGTCACAATATTATCTCCGTGGCAGGTTGGTATCCACCAGGTAGGGGCCTTCCCCCCCCCCCCCAATGTGCCTGGGATACCTTTTATTATTCCAATTTTGCCCTGCCCTATAAGCGCCAATATTTAAGGTGCATTTCTTTGCCTTGACGTTTTCCATCTCTGGACTCCAGCAAATTTTTAAAATATTTTGGATCTGCGGCTTCCCTTTTAATAGCATTCTTGGCCTTAAATAATTCGCTTTCTGGTGGCCCTGCTTTTCTTCCGATAAAAACCAAGACAGCCTAGAATTATTTTAAGTCAGCAAAAAATAAATCTCGCCCCGGCACTGGCTGTTTTCTGCACTGGCTTTATTCTGCAGCTTTTTTTCCCCCGGAGGCTCCCAATTGCAGGGGGAAAAAAAAAAGGCTTGCTAGATAGAATTTATAGCTGAATTTATTATCTCTCCCCCCCCCCCCGGCTTTGTGTGGGTCCTGCCGCAGCCCACCCACCCACTCGCACACCTGCTTCCCTGCGTCCATCTTGCTCTCCTGCCCTCCGCAAAATGGCGGGGGTTTGCAACTCCCGACTGTCGGTAGACCACGAGAGGGCAGGACTGTTGTCGAAAGAGGTGTGTACGTGTGTGTGTGTGTCTGAAACTGTCGTGTTGTCCTCCCCCACCCCACCCTTCCCCACAAGGCGCCCGAGACCCCGGCCCGGAAACCCGAGACGATGCACCTTGAGCTGAACGGGTGGACGAAATCCAGAAATCGGTCCTCCTCTTTCAGCTAGGAAAGTAAAAAAAAACAACCCTGGAATTTGGTGTATATTTCCCACCCTCCCCAAGGGATTTCCATGCCCCACACACTCGTAGGGTCATTGTGTTGGTTCCTAAGAGTGTGCGTGTGTGTGTGTGTGTTGATTGTGGTCCTAGCACACAGGTGTTTTCCCTGCTTCAAAACCATCTCCTCCTTCAATTTTTTCAGCCGCCTTGTTTTGTTGTGTTGTCGACACCCTCGGTGCAAAGGCTAACCTATCCTGTGTGTGTGTGTGTGTGTGTGTGTGTGTGTGTGTAGAAGAGCCAGCATCCCCCCCATCTATCCCCACGGAGGCCTCTTCCCCGTGACCCCCACCCACCCTGCCGCAGCCCCCTTCCCCTCGCAGGGCCGGCGCGAAGCGTGGCATCCGATGAATGGGTCATTCAGAGAGCTGTCAGCCGAGCCGGCGAGCAGATGCTTGGACGGATGAATGAGGTTGTTGTGTGGTTTGGGGCAGCCCCGGCCGCAGAGTGAGGTCGGTAGGAGGGATAGGGGCGTGTGGGGAGGGGGGCTGCGGGGAGGGGTCGGTTTAGGGGGCGCAGAGGGCCTTTTGTTTTAGGGTTCATTGGGCCGACAAGGGACACATTCAGCCGTCTCCGGAGCAGAGTAGGTGGGAGTGTCCCCTGAGCTGTTGGAGGGAGTGGAGAAGGGCAGAGGGGGGGTGGGAGATGGGGTTGGTGGTCCCGGGGAGGGTGGGAAGGGCTGATAGACTAAAGTGCCCTTCTTCACTAAAGTGTTCTGACCGAGGCTTCCCAAGAGCCTGAAGCCAATTCCTGGTCCCGACAAAAACCCCTTTTATTAATTGACTGGGAATTCTGCTCCTTCACATCCAGCAAAGTCTTTCAAGGGAGGATTTACAGTCACAGACCTTATCTGGCTTGGAGAGCTGCCAGGTCGATCTCTACAAAACTCGGCAAGGAGTCTCGGAGAGTCGAGAACCAATGAAGCGAGCTCATTGTCTCCTGCAAACTCCACTCCCCTTTCGCTCCTCTTTTATGTCCTCTGGGAGGGGCCATTCACCGTCCACCTGTGGCCTTACTCCCAAGTCGACCCCTGTTCTTTAGCTGCTCCCTTCCTCTGGCAGCTCTGCGCATGCGCACACTGGGAACAGGCTCCAGCTGTTCTTCTGCCTCACTGAGTCCGACTCCGAAGGCAGCTGGTAACTGTNACTCCCAGAATTCCCCATCCAGGATGCTTTAAGAAGGGAGAACTTCCACTCCCAGAATTCCCCAGCCAGGATGCTTTAAGAAGGGAGGATTTCAACTCCCAGAATTCCCCAGCCAGGATGCTTTAAGAGGGATGGACTTCAACTCCCAGAATTCCCCAGCCAGGATGCTTTAAGAGGGATGGACTTCAACTCCCAGATTTCCCCAGCCAGGATGCTTTAAGAGAGATGGATTTTCACTTCCAGAATTCCCCAGCCAGCATGCTGTGAACTCCTAACATTGCCAGTGAGAGAAGGGGGGGAGCACATTCCACGCATACTGTCAGCTGAAGTCGGACCTCAGATTCCTGCAGCAGGCCGAAAGCCAAAAAGGTCACGCAGAAACGTCACGCGCACACTCATCGCGGGCCGCGCTCCAGAAAAGCCTGGCTTCCAGGTTCTAGCATGTGTGGGTGTCTAACAATCACCTGGCCGGCGCGCATGCGCGGACCTGTTCTCGGCACAGCCACATGCATGAAGGACAGCTGATTGTTGCACGTACATGCATGCCAGAAACCCACAAGACAAACAGGCAAGGCTGCGCGTGCCAGGCAACATGGCTTGGCGTGCCACCTTTTAGCACGCGTGCCATAGATTCGCCATCACAGTCATACGGGAATGTGATTTATGACACAGAGGGGAGGGAAGGAACAGGTGTAAAGTTCAGCTATAAACCAGACAAAGCATAGGCTTGACTGCGAACGGATATTGCCTAATGGGGCTCCTAATAAATGACTAGTTTTGTATTGAAACTTGGCTTGATACTCATGAATCAATTAGGGCATTTTTAGGAAACCTGACACACGCTTTAAGGTGGATGGATTCCACTACCAGAATTCCTCAGGCAACTGGCTTTGAAAAAGGTGGACTTTAAGATGGGTGGACTTTCACTCCCAGAATTCCCCAGCCAGAGTCCTTTTTGACCGGGGAGGGGGGGGACGGGACGGGACTCCAAGTTGCTACGGTTGAGAAACACAGCAATACGGATGTGGTGCTAATGTCTTCATCAACAGTTTGAGTTTGCTGCAATATCCTCAGCTTTAGCCGTCTTTAAACCAACATTTTGATGGGTCGACTCCCCCCCCCCCCACTGGTTCACCCTTTCTACGCTTGGTGGAAGAAATTAAAGAGATTCATGTCCTCACTCAAAAGTGGGCTGGGGGTCTGCGGAGTGGAAAGCGGGGGTGAGCCAAACTTACTCCGGGCTCGGAGCATCAGTTCTGAAATCCATCCCGGTTGATGAAAACCGCTTTGCAAACGAGGAGCTTTTTAAAAAGAGTCTCCTGCTCGCCCTGTCTGGATGACCTCTGGGTACCCACCGCCCCTTTACCCCCATCACTCACCCACCCCCAAAGCCAAATTTTGCCCCTCCCCGGAGACCCCCTCCCCACCCAACCCCGTTGCTTGCAAATAAAGGAAAGCACCTGGAAAGCATTTGGACAGAGATATCATTCTGGGGTTAAAACAAGGCACCACGAGGAAATGACCGCCAGGCCCGCACCGAAGGGGGAGCGCAGACCGTTTTTAAATAGCATCTCAAGAGATGGGGGAAGGGGTGAGAAAAGACCCCCCCCCCTCCTTCCTCCATCCCTGCCCCAGCTTCGGCATTAAATAGGCTCAGGTTTCAATTTGTCAGCCAGAAAGTCATTCACGAAAGTTTCCACAATCGGTGGCGTGATCTCTTCGACATCCATGACGTATTTAGCACGGGCGGACATGTCCAAGATGGTCAGAAGAGGGGCGGCTTCGGGCAGGTTGGTGTAATCCCGGAGAGAGTCAGTCATGTCATCCTGGAGAGGGGGGCAGATAAGGAAAAACAGGGGGGGGGGGAAGAGAATAAATTTCATTAAAATTAGTTTGGGGCATCAAAAGGCTCCAAAGTCAAACATTTATTGCTCAAGGCTACTCAAGAAGCCCTCCGCTTACGGCCACAACGGAAGCCCATGTTTCTGCTGCTAAGTGAGACGTTGGTGAAGTGAATCTTGCCCCCATTTTATAGCTTTTCTGTTGTGGAACAGATTCGGACAGTGAGGAGGGTTGGGGAAGAACCTGGGCCAGTCCTGGAGTCTGGAGAAGGCTCTGATGAGGGCTCTGTGTCGGAGGCAGAGGGGGGGCCAGAGCCGTATGCCAGTTATCAGCTGCCTTCGGAGTCAGACATCAGTGAGGCAGAAGAACAGCTGGAGCCTGTTCCCAGTGTGCGTATGCTCAGAGTTGCCAGACAAAGGGAAGAGCTAAAGAACAGGGCTCGACTTGGGAGCAAGGCCACAGGTGGATGGTGAATGGCCCCTCCCAGAGGGAAATAAAAGAGGAGCGAAA